TCCAGGACCCTAGGGCTGGTGACAAGCGCTGCCCTTATCCCTTAATAGTATAGTAACAGTAGCTAAAGACCTAACAGTAGTTGCAAATGGTCTTTAGGTAAACTGGTTGTTACACCTTTTCACAAAATTAACTTCTTTTTCCAATATTAATAACTATCCCACTAGAAACAGAACTACATTAGTAGTACCCATGCATAGTACCACATTATTCGAAAGATCATTCTCGTACGTTGCTAGTAAAAAATATAATGACATAACGGCGGAATATAGATCCTACAGTATTCTTAATTTTAAGAAACGTCTCAAAGAAAACCTTTTAGCTAATCAATCTGCATTATAAAACGAAAACATGAACTGTCAAGAAATAGGTTTACTCTCTTGAAAAATAATTTTTGTATATATAATTTAAGCTGTTTTCATCAATATTCATTTTGTGTATGAAATAGAATGTACTTATTTGCGTTGCAGGTTAAGTTGAAAAACAGCCTTGTGCTGAACTTCGCCTTTTCATCACTTTCCTTCTTTTTTTTTTTTGTTATTGTAAATGTGTAACTATGAAGAATAAAGACCATTTATTATTATTATTATTATTATTATTACTTATTCTTAAGTCTGTTATGTCGTTGATGAATAATAAAAACAAAATTGGACCTAATACTGATCCTTGAGGTACTCCACTGCTTATTGCTAGATTTGTAGAATCCTCACCATTCGCCCGCACCTGTTGATTTCTATTTTCTAGGTAAGTTTTAAACCATTGTAAAGGAGAACCCCGTATGCCATAAATTTGTAACTTATTAATTAAAATATCATGATTTACACAATCGAAGGCCTTTGCGAAGTCACAAAATACTGAAGCGGTGAAAAGTTTATCATTAAGTGATGTGTATATTTCATTAAGAACGGAAAACATTGCGTCGCTAGTGCATTTTTTAGGTAGAAAGCCATACTGATGAGCTGTGAGGATGTTATGCTTGAAAAGAAAGGGCAAAAGACGGTTTTTCATTAGCCGTTCTACTATCTTCGATAAGGTAGGCAATAACGCGATAGGTCTATAGTTACAGGTTTTGGTTTTGTCGCCACCTTTATGAAGTGGGATTATTATAGCTGTTTTTAGACAGTTAGGATAGAGACCAATTTCAAAGGATTCATTAATCAGTGAAGTTAAAATGTTGATTACTACATCCGGTATATTTAGAAATATTTTGGTGGACAGGCCATCAATTCCACAGGAAAATTTATTTTGGATGTTGTTTATGGTTTGCACTAGTTCATGCTTGTCTACTGGTCTTAGGAAGAAACTTTCAGTGATCCTTTTAGTAGGTAGGAGGAAGGAGAGAGCATCCTGACTCGGAGCTATGTTAGATTTGATATTTTTACTTACATTTACGAATTAATTGTTTAGTTCATCTGGGCTAGGATTTACACTGTTTGAAGAACGGGTTTTATTCCTTAAGTCATTTATTATAGACCAGGTTTCTTTGGAGGAGTTTTTAGCTCTTGCGATGCGATTTTTGTAATAGTTTTTCTTAGCAGATTTGGTGATTTTCCGATACAATATTCTGTAGTTGTTGATATAGTTTAATATTAGGGGATTATCTGTGTACTTTTTAATATACATGAGTGACCTCATATTTTTAGATGATGTTCTTATTCCTTTAGTTGTCCAAGATGTGACATAAGTCATTCATCATTGATACAAACTTTTAGTGTTTTTATAAAAGTATTTTCTTTAATATTTTTCACTTTATTCTAGGTAGTATTAAAACACTCTAACACCTTTATTTTTTTCAAGGTACTTTTGTGACTAATTTATTTGTAGTATTAGGTCTAATTTATTTTATAATAACCGATCATATAAAATACATTTCTTATGCCTAATCAATATCAAACCCTTTAATTAAACGCCCTACTCTTTACATAAATAAAAATTAAATTATTTATATATCCAGAAATAAAAAATATTCATAAAATATCACGCCACTGTTGGCGTTGGTTTGTTCTTATATATTATTTAGTTATTTTAATAGCAAAAACTCATAACCTTGCCGGAATATAAGATATTAACTGAGAAGAATTCGTATACCTCGTCCCAGTCTGTTTATAAGATCGTTGAAGTTAAAAAGAGAAAAGTTTTAAGAGATATTCATACAGATTGATAGGCATCAACTAGAAAACACATAATCAGCTGTTTATAGAATAGCGAACAGAATGGTGACTGGCGATAATCGCCACGACTTGGTGGTATTCGGCAGCAACTGCGAATTTTGGAGGATTCCAATGTTAATAATCAGAAAACAACATTAGATAAATTTTTTGAAAGCCCAAATATAATGATTTCTACGATATATTGAAAACTATTTATGAACCCCAAAGTGATAACAAATTAATTGAAAAATAAAAAACTATTCGACTAATTTCATATTTAAAAGGTAATCTTTATTCCAAATTTGCATTTTGAAGTTTAATTTTTTTTTTAAGTAAATCATTAATATACACATTTTCGGAAATAATATGTTTATTAAGAAACACATTATTTTTGACGTTCTTTTTATCTTTAAAAAGTTGAAATACCCGGTATATCCACTAAATTATTTAATTATATCTATTGTACTTTCTAATTTATTAGATAAACGTACTAAACCCCAATGTAACAATTCTTATTAGTAATAGGTTTTCTTCTTCCGGATCATGATTCGACTACAACAAAATCGGTATTCGAATAATAATTTTTTTATATATCAAGTAATACACAAAGTTTCGGAAACGGATCGGCCACTGTTAGTGCTAAGACATGGGTCAAAATAGACGATTCATCATCACATTGTCTATCTATGTTACTTTATTAATGGATATTAATGGCACTGGTGGGTTGCAGTAACTGACTTAATGATACAGCATAGTTTTTGTAACTACAGAGTAACAAGAAAATGATACTGTCCAGTTTCAGTAACTACCCAAATGTTACTTTGATTTTGGATGTTTATAGTTCCAATTAATGGTATTGGTATGATAACAGTTACTTTAAAAGAATCATATAATATAGCCTTACCCAATAAAGTTGCAATTTTAGTACCAGGGTGTACCCTAGAAACTAAGGCTTCGTGCAGAATGAGCTACCTAAGGTGTGATTCCAGAAAAAAAATATATATGAAAACACTTACGAAGCATATAGTAAGTGACATTTGCTAGCTGGGAAAGTGGCACATAATAGTCTGGAAAGTTACTTCTAGACAAGTTGGGAAGTGAATTGTTCAATAAGTCGCTTCCTGACTGTTTTGAAGGGTTTAAATCCACAGATTATTAACCAATTGTAAGTAAAAATATTTGCTTCCTTGCACAAACTGTCAAGTTAGACGGTTCACATGAAAACGATCTGTCAAAATAGCTTGCTTAGGCGTAAATAAAAGTATTAACAAGAAAAAATACAATAAAAATTGCCTGTAATATTTTTTTCAACATTTTAAGGTAACTCTGACCAAGTATGCGCCGTTATCTATTATCATACATAGCTCTTACGCTGATAGGTTAAATGTACATAATTTATACAATTGTCCTTAACCCTGATATATACAATAATTATTAAAAGATAAGCAAGCAACGAATAGAAGAATAGAATTATTAAAGGTGCTAAATAGAGAACAAAAAGGACAGGATACCACAAGATAAAATACTCTTTCATTGATATACAGAAAAAGATTTGGAAGAGTTAGATAACCTTTTGAGTTACGTTAAATTAATATACAGGGTGTACCAATAAAAACTCCCAGGCCGGATATTTTAGTAAGTAATAGAGATATTTTAATTCTGTAAACGCCAGTTCACAGGGCACTAAGAAAGCTTCAGTTTTGGATAAAAATTGATTTTAAATAGGTCAATATGTAGATGACGCTGGGCTCAAGAATTTTCTTTCTATGGGAGGATCTTTCTTGTGTAGCGCATCTAGTAAAAAATGCATTTTTAAGCAGATTTTGTTTAATAAACTAATTCGATAAATCTAATCATTTTTACTCAAAACAATTTCATTCTGTTTTTCAGCATTAATCAATGGATTTTAAGAAAATGCTAAAACAGGTCGGTTTTTATTCCAAATTTAAAACAGTTTTACAATACAGACATCTGTCATGTGTCAACCCCCTCCCTTTCACTCTTCCAACACCTTAATTTTAAATATGTATTGCATTATTTTAAACATTATTGCTCAATTTATTTTGTTGCAAGTGCAATATGGAAATATTTATATTAAGGTTATGTGGTGCATTGAATTAGTAATTAAATTAGCTTTCAAATGAAGTGTCACACTTTATAATAAGTTACAGGTTTTTTTATTCCGATAGAGGGCACTAAAATTAAAAGTATCGCAATAAACGGTCATATTTCTAAATTCTCCATAAAATTACCTTTTTAATGATATGCTATACATGGTACATTCCTTATTTAAAATTAAGGGGTTGTAGAAGTGGAAGGGAGGGGGTTGACACATGACAGATGTCTGTAGAGTAAAAATATGTTTAATTTAAAATAAAAATCGACCTGTTTTAGCATTTTCTAAAAATCCAATGATTGATACCTAAAAACAGGATGAAACTGTTTTGAGTGACTCACTCTGTATATCAAAAATGGGTAGATTTATCGAAATAGTTTATAGATCAAAATATGCATTAAAATGCATTTTTTATAAGATGCGCTATATAAGAAAGTTCCTTCCATCGAAAAAAATATATTGAGCGCAGCGCCATCTACATATTGACCTATTTAAAATAAATTTTTACCTAAAACTGAAGCTCTTCTAGCACTCCATTACTTATCAAAATAACTGGCCTGGGAGTTTTTATTGGTACACCCTGTATAATATTGATGATTTTATATTAATTTTAGATCCTTAACTTGAAGGTACAAAGGATCTTGTCTATTACTACTTTTCAATAATGTTTTAGCCATTTTAATGAAAAAAAAATTGATATTTAAATTTTATGGTTATATATAATTTTTACACTTACCTTCCCGCTTAGTGAGCTTTTGTGCTGTCGATTCAGATGAAATTAAACATAGTGCAAGTGTGAAGCTCTAAAACAAATAAAGAAAATTAATTAAACATTTTTGGATTTTATTACATATTTCTTAAGCAATTTTAATAAATGTATTATATCAGTTGGCTGCTGTTATATTTAATAGCAGATTAGAACGTTTGTTAGCCCGAGAGTTGTTATTAAAATATTTTTGAGATTTAGATTCAACAAAAATAGCTACTATTATCAAGGTCACCTACTACTATCATTATACTTTAGCCCGTTCATGAGAGCTTAATATCCCTTCGGTTAGAACTGAGACCTGGAAATAGCCACATGTAAATTCCCTGCTTCAAGAAATAGGTTTATTTTTAATCTAACTTTGTATTTACTACAGCTACATTGAACTCTAAAAGTATTTATGGGGTATTACAAAAATCACTTAACTTGACGTATTTCAGGCCAAGGTTTTAAAGATTTGAAAAATTAGGGTAGGTCCCAGTTTGTCAGGGTACCACTTCGTTTTCTAGACTGTAACTAAATCATAGAAGAAACATTATTGCCAACCATCTAACCAAGCGTATTGAGAATATGGTTAATTTTAAACATCTTCAATTTAAGGTATTTAATTATGACTCACTGGTTATTTTTTCTACGAATTTTACTTTTTGGTATGAAATTTAGTGACGACATATCTACTTGTTAATTTAATTGTTAATCCAAGGCTAATTTCATATCAACATACCCTCGTATCTATTTAAATCATGTTTCCATAGTTTAAAAAATAGACACGATTAAATTGCCGAAACAAGAGCGTTACACGGATAGTTACATTCTAAAATTCGTGTACTCATTTAAAATTCAAATCACAATTACTGTTTTCTTCACTTAAGTACATTTATAATTAGCGGCTGTAAATTATGATAAACATTTACTCAACATTGTTTATTTAGTTTCGTCAAGAAAATCACGTAAAGTTGCAATAAAAAATTGAAATTAAGCAAGAAATAATAATTGTAAAAGTGGTTAACAGTATCGTTCCACAAATTTGCGATTTGGATCGGGATTAGCAATTAATAGGATTTTTTTTTTATTTTAACAGCTATTCTTTTGTCTTTAGTGATTTAGAAATATGTACCGTAGTTTTTTTAGATAGGTCGTGTGCTTAAATTTTTTTTGTGTGAAAGAAAATCCTATAATACTCTGTATAAATACAAATATATATATAATATATCGATTGCTTACTACTAATACTTCGTATCTGCATGATCAGAAAATTTTCAGGAGACCCTACAATATGTTTTTATAGTAAAATATTATGTGACAGCATAGAAGAAAAATGTTGTTCAATAATATGTTCATGAGTACTTAATATTGATTTTTATAATTTCTTATCAGTTATTGTATATATTTTAATTTTTTTATAAAGGAGATATTGGCAATATTTTTCTTTAAGGTAGGAGGTTTTTATATCAGGCATTTATATTGTCAAATAATATATTTAGGGTTCAGGGGTATAAATGCTAACAGTAATTCACAACTAGCAAACAAAAAATTAGCACTACTTTTATGATTTTGAGGGTCGTGTTCAATTTACACTTCAATAAAGTTGTAAAATATAGACTAATTTAATACAAAATAGGTGCCCCCTTTACATACATATCTATTTACGGTCTAATATGTAAAATTAAATGATTCGAAATAGGCCAAGTAAAAAACACAGAGATGAGGAAAAACTAAAACGCGTTTTTGTATGTAACTTAAGCCCAATAAGGGAAGTTGACTTAAATAAACTACTTTTAACCCCACGTGTGTTAGGATCTAGTGACTCATTGATGGGAAACAATGATTTTTGTTTTGATTTTGAAAATGTGGGAAATAGACCACCAACGCCACGAACTCCTGTTCATTTGAAATAAAATATTACCCCTAATTTTTGATTTTTTTAATATTTAAAATATTATATTTATAAATTAAATATTTAATACTAACTATAACACTATAAAACTAAAACTTAAACTAAACAATATTAACTTATTGCTATCAATATAAAATGATATGACAACTGAAAGGACAACTCGTTCTAAGACTGTACATCTACGAATAAATTCACCTATTGAAGATTTCAGCCCGCCCTTTCACAGTTTAACATTAACTTATAACCCTTTTAATAGAAGTACTTTAACCCCTCACTCACCAGAAAAAGATACTGGTGAACCAAAAAGTATTGAAGCCACTCCCAAAAGAATTGTTGACACAACAGTAATAGAGAAAAAACAGGAACCAGAAGAGGAAGAGAAATCTGAGAGTGAAGAAAAATTAGATCAAGAAAACATTACCACTTTATCTGAAAACAAATAAGGCCCTACAAAAACCAACACAACCCCAAAACAGCCTCCAGTAATCCCCACAATAGGCTCCATACCTACAATTAATATATTAGTAATAAATTTACCTATTGAAGAGGAAGAAGAGTTCAGCCCGCCCTTTCACAGTTCAATATTAACTAATAACCCTTTTAATAGAAGTGCTTTAACTCCTCACTCACCACAAAAAGATACTGGTGAACCAAAAAGCATTGAAGCCACTCCCAAAAGAATTGTTGACACTACAGTAATAGAGAAAAAACAGGAACCAGAAGAGAAAGAGAAATCTGACAGTGAAGAAAAATTAGATCAAGAAAACATTACCACTTTATCTGAAGGCAAAGAAGGCCCTATAAAAACCTACACAACCCCAGAACAGCCTCCAGTAATCCCCATAATAGGCTCCATACATTTAATGTATTAGGTCCAACTGTTAATATCGAAAATTCACCTCGAAAAAGATTAAATCATAATACAAGGCTAAACGACATTTGCAGATAGTATAAATGTCGGCGTAACAGCCATAAAACAGAAATTTTTGTGTCCAACAACATTCAACCCCTGCACAAGTAATGCTGTATCCTTTTTGAAACAATATGAAAGGATAAGTGCAGCAAATGGATGGGGCAATTCGCTATTGTAATGGCCATTTACAAACATTTTTAGAAGGAGCAGCAGAACATTGGTTTAGTCGTTACAAAGACAACGAGAGAAACCAAACCAAAACCTGGCCACTGGTGAAGAACGGCTTTCATAAGAAATACGAGGAAGAAGAGACAAAAAGAGCATTAGAGCGAAAATTATATGAAAGAAAACAAAAACCCTAAACGCGGCATATGGTGGAGGTGCCAGTTTCTTGGTACAATTTTTATTTTTCATTTTTTATTAATTTAATGTTCAAAATTACCTGTTTTTGTTCATTTAAAAAGAAAAAAAAGACAATTTCAGTTGAGTATGTTGTACTTACACATAATTTTTTTTTCTTAATAAATAATATAAGTAATAAATATATATTTTTTTAAATTATAGTAAAGGATAGAATTTTATCAACAAAACTTTACATAAAATAAAAGTAGATATTTTTGGGAGTTCCTTTTGAACGCGCGGGTATTGACTTGTAAGGTCCCTTCAGGAGATGCCGAAATGGTTATTGTAGCAACTGACTATGCTACGCGCTGGGTAGAAACCCAAGTTCTAAGGGTAAAGCGAAACCAGTTGCTCAATTCATCCTTGATAATATAATTACTAGACATGGTTCACCCACATATTTATTAAACGATAGGGGCAAAACCTTTATGTCAAAGGTAGTTATAGAACTACTAGATATCATGGGTACCACGAGTCAGTTTACAACAACATACCACCCCATGACTAATGAGTTAACAGAGAGATTTAACAAAACTCTTGTTGATATGCTGTCAATCTACACAAATACCCAACAAACAGATTGGGATGAGAGTAACTTTTGCAAACTATACTTGTTTACAAGATATCACTAGGTATTCCCCTTTCATGCTGGTTTATGGAAGGGAGCCCATACTCCCAACAGAGGATAACTTACTGACACCTGTGGATCATCCTGATTCACTTAAACTTAGGGAACGAGTATTGTGCTTTTTGCCAAATAAAATGGCCGGGTAATTATTCTATGGGGTTACGACAGAGAGCTAGTAAATTTGATGGTGTTTTTGTGGCTAGGGGCGAAATAGTAGTACGCTTAAGTTAGCACCACCATAAAAAAGTCATTTTTAAGAAACTGCTTACATATTTTTCATAAATTGGCAGGCTAGGCGACTAATTTCGAATCAAAATAGCCTCCAAAATGGCTATGATTGCAAGTATGAAGGTCGCAACCCGCCTTGGAAATTTCACCTTTACTATCAACAGCTGTTGTTTGACAGGTCGTTAGAGAATGTTTGCAATTTATGTAATTTTAAAATTTTTAGGAATGTTGACGTTAGAAATAATTGGAATTCCTAAGATTGTCACACAAGAAATGCATAGGCGGATTTTAAGAAAATTGATATTAAAGTAGTTAGGATGAACCGAATTTCCTAAAAATCAATAGGGTTCTAAATTAGAAGCAATTATTCAAGAAAATTAAAACCGTAAGTCAATCAGAACTTTTGTTCCAGAGTTATCGTACCGGCATACATACACACAGACGATCATTTGCATTTTCGTACTCAGAATGATCGGAAACATGAAAAAAAGTTTCAAAAAATGGGGGTAAGAAATTTTTTTCGTCTGCACGAATGCAATACTCTCACACCTATTTTCCCATAGTTGGAGAATAGATCCTGGTAGAGACGGCTCTGGTCAAGGTCAACATCAATTCAGAAAAAAGTATAATTACTGTGATTAGAAAAATTGAAACAAATGAGGTTATATTTCCTCAAGATAACAAACTAAATATTGTTTATTATTTTTCTGGAAAACATATATGAAATAGGCTAGAAAAACATTTAACTGTAGTGGAAAAAACTACAGCATATATCTATTGAAATGAGCCCAAGAATATACAGTTTTTGTAGAAATTTGCCGAAATTCGAAACTTGTTGTAATTAATAGAATTAGCATCTCGGCGATGCTCTGTATTTTAATTAATAAAACTAGTTGTTTTTGTACTTTAAACATTTCTTTTCTTGGATATTCTTACACAGACCAATATTTACATTTTGAATGTAGCAAG